TTTTTTTTTTTTTTTTTTTTTTTTAATTGAGTGAATTATTTGAACTTATTAGTCTAAATTACCATTTTAATATTTTATTTTTACTCTTTTTTTAAGTGAATTATTTGAACTTATCTACTAACCATCTAAATTACCATTTTAGACATTTGGATTGCTTCAACATTTTTGGTAGGCTATCTGTATTCTGTTTTATGTCTAAATTTTTTGTGTTCAGATTCAGGATCAATTAATATATATTTACTTTTATTAAACCGTTTTGTAAATTTTAAAATATAATATAAAACTAGAAATTTTGAATTATTTGATTATATTAGTAGACAATATTATCAATTTATGAATTTTTTTTAGCATTTTTTGTGGCGATATAGTGAAAAGACAATTAAACGTGTCTATGTTGATATTGTTGAGATAAGCTTTAATGCATGCACATGTACATTAGCAAATATCGGAAAATTGATTTTCAAAATGTAGCTAAAGAGGAGAAAGTAAAAGGACCATTTTTCGTAAAATAGACCTTTAAATCTTCTCGTGTATTTATTATACAACTAGATCTTGTTGTCATAACTTTTTTACCCATTTTGTAACCTTTAGTCATCTAATATAAAATTGCTCAAAACAAATGACGGTTAATATTGATGTTCTAAGATGCTATCAGAGGTTTTGTTCACGATCTATGTTAAATTATATTATTTAATTTTTATTTATTAATGAATAATAAAATGTCCTTAATTAGGATTAAAATGCCTTAATTAGGATAATTTATTTAGTAATGAATCATATAATTATCGTCCAATAATGATTTTAAATAAAATTATATATACTTTTGATGGTAAAAATTAAAATGATTAAATGATTAAATTGAAAAATTAGTAATATTATGTTCTATTTCAAAAAATTAAATATCGGCTAAATAAATTATTTTTAGTGAGATAATTATAGAACGTTATTAATAAATTAGTTTTTAAAAATTAATTATATAAATATAATATTGAATTAGTTTTAATTAATTATAAATTTAATTTAAATTAATTATTTATGTTTTAAAATTATGATACATTAATGAGACAATGCGTTTGCTCAAAATTAGTCAAAAGAAATAATGAATTATAAATAATTAGTTATAATTATTAAAAAAAATTAAACTTTTACTATTATAATTTACTAGTAATTTCATTCTTCTAATAAACTTTTATTCATAAAAAAGAATTAAATAGACATTTAAATAAATTACCATTGATTTATTCTAATTAAATTATTAATTATATTAATTTATTTGTTAAACTATGATTAATTATTATTAAATATCTACATGACAATAGTTATTTTAATATTATTAAAAAGTATAGCCTAATAAAAAAACTATATTGATATATTTTTTAGCTGATGTAATTTTATTTATTGTATTTACATCATCAAATATGATAAATAAATTTAATAATGTTTTATATGGATAATTCTTCCATTATTGGTAAGTTTTATTATAATTAATTAATATTAAATAAATAATTAAAATTAAAATTTATTATCATTAAATATCATAATAATAAAATTCAATTATATTTTACATTAAAGTTGTTATTCTAATAATATTTGTATTTAATTTAGTTTTAAATATTAATATCAGCTCAATTCTCCAAATGAAAAATATATTTTCCAAAATAAAATAACTAAAGAATCAATTAAATAATAATTTATTATTGTTTTTTTAATTAAAAAATATGTTTTTTTTTTTTTTTGTAAACTAGAAATATAAAAAGAGTAATTTAGTAATTATTGCATATATATTTTCTATTTAGATAGTTGCATACAACATTAATAAAATTATGATTTCTATAATTTATAAAATTGACATTTTAATTTAGATTTTTTATTTTTTTGATTGCACAACCCAAGTCCAATAAATTTAAATATTATTATCTCTATGATAAATTTGCAAAAATCACTTTGCGACTTAGGTGCGTTGAACATATGTAGTAGGCATGAACGTGTAGTTTTGATTGTCTTACAAGTCACATCATCTCAAAATGTACCGTTAGAAGCACATGAAAGATAAGTGGATTCTCCTCCCTTCTTTCTTATCCCATCATGGTACGAGTAATCATGGCACGATGTGTATAAACGGCAATCAAAAAGCGATGTGTACACTGGTTGGAGTAGGGCTAAACCCTCTCTCCAGTAGACGCATTTAAAAACTGTGAAGTCGACGATGATTCATAACCAGCTAAAACGAAGAATATCTATTAACAATGAGCTTAAGTTATTACAAATGATATCAGAATCAGACACCATAAGACGATATGTATTACGACGGTGAACCTAGGTTGTAGAGGAAAACAAAAGATGGAGGGGGTTGGAGCGGAGTCAATAAAAGCTTATTGCGTGCAAGAAGGAGAGTATATAGTGGAGGGATTACTGTGAAAATGGGTCTGAAGCAAACAGAACAAGCAATTCAGAAATGGGTTTCATCACAAACCAACAAAAAGTGGAAAGTGGAGAAGAAGTGGAAAGGACAACAATGGAGACGATAAGCATTACTCACCAACACCACTTTCAGACCAACACCTCTTCTTCTAATATCTAAGTGCCAAACTTGTACGCTTCCTTTTTCTCTCTAAACTTTCTGTCGATCGCTTGTTTAGTTCCTTTTTCCATTTAAACTCACTAACTTTTCTAGGGTTTGATGAATACGCCATTATCGTTCCTTACAACATGGGTTTCTCTCTTTATTCTTCTTGCCTTCCCAGTTTCCCTCTCTCAATTAAGGTGTGTTTTCTTGATGATTCTTATCTGTTTGTTTTTCTCAGATCTGTGTAGGGTTTCTTCCCATTTGACTGTTAATCTATACTGAGTTGTGATACTGAAATCGTGATGTTTTGCTTCCAAATTTAGATTTGAAGTGAATCTGGAATTTCATATTGTGCTTGGTTTTCTTGTTTAATGATTTGGGAATTCACTGTCTATAATGTTCATTGGGTTAAATCAATCCCAAAATGAAGAGGGAAATATACTCTTGGATTGGTTTTGCTCCAAATTCGAGTTAGATTAACTTACGAAGTCTACAAATCCAATCTCAAACTGAGTATTGTGTCATGAATTTTGAAGATCTTCTTATTACATTCTTGAACTACTTGTATTGTTGATTCATGGCTTAAAGTAATTTTGAAGATCATGGCTTAAAGTACACATTGATGATTCATGGTGCTTCTATTGTTGCTCGAAAGGCTAAAGAGGAAGCCCGAAAGGGGAGCCTAAAAGGGAAAGCTAGAGAGGATGATATTTGCTAGCGGTGGGCTTGGGCTGCTTACGAACTTTAAATTTTCTGGTTAATTGTAGCCTTTGTTGGCTCTTTCCTCGAATTTCGTCTAATTGTGACCTTTTTGAACTTGGATGGTCTCTGTCACTTGCTTATGGAACACTTCTTTGACCCTAAAAGTGTTTTTTAATCCATCTTCTGCTTGGATTCTTTGATTTTTCTGTATGCTTTAAGATTTGTAGCTTTGTTTTATCCAACTTTTGGAGTTTCCTCATCATGAAAGTTCATTTGCTTTTGAAAACTTGGGGCAGATTACGAAGCCCTGTTGTGATGTCAGACTTGGCCAAAGATCTTCTATCTCTACAAGAAGTTATAGGCCTGATCTTTTAGGCCTATCAGTTCATGACTTGACTGCAGATGTGTCAAGAAACTGGAGTTTCATTACAGGATCAAGAATTGCTATTAAACCAAAACTTGCAAGAGTGGATTTGTCCAAGAAAGTTCATGGAGGAGTACATGCCTCATGTAATCACTTGCCCTTTGAACTTCTAAATTACTGAATGTTTTTAGAATTGAGTAGCTATAATCATCTCTGTTGAATGGTTGTGACTATCGACATTTTGTTTTGTGAATCTCCTCAATAGAATGATACATGTTTTGTTTGTCTGTCCAATTTACGGCCTATGATCCGTAATATCATGGAAAAGATTGTTTGCGTTGATTATTGATTATTGCTTCTTGCAAGAACATGATAAAAACATCCTTCAAAAAGTCCTACAGATCATCTCTCCTGTCAGCATCTCGTGATCTTTCATACCCTCTCTTAGAATTGTAGATTTCGATATTTTCAGGGCATTTGAGTCTATCATTTCTATATGGTTTTGTCTTCGTAGGATCATTTTTTGATTTATGTATTGAATTAAAGATCAAGAAGAATCTCCTTTCTTCTGTGAAGAACTGTTATTTCTAAACGATTTTATGTTTTCATTTACAGGGTTGGCTAACGCTCAGGTTGCTAGCAATGCTTTTACTTTAGGTACAATAGCTGTTCTACCCTTTTATGGCCTCATGGTTCTGGCTCCTAAATCAGAATTGGTATGCTAAATTTGAACAGTAGATTTTGGTACATTCCAAAGCCGCTTCCACAGTGATTATTAGGACATCTTTTTGATTTCTACAGACTAGGAGATCTATGCAAAGTAACATACCATATGTGGTGCTTGGGCTTCTATATGCATATCTTCTGTACCTTTCTTGGACACCAGAAACTGTGCAGCTTATTTTTGCAAGCAAATATTGGCTGCCAGAGGTGAGTATTTGTTTCATCTTTTGAGAAATTTCGACGATATCTTATGGGTTCATTATGTTTTAGTCCATGTATGTATTGTATTGCTCAACTCATTGTCTGTGGCACCGTGAACGTTCAGCTGTCTGGTATTTTGAAGATGTTCTCTAGCGAAATGACATTAGCTTCTGCTTGGATTCACCTGCTGGTTGTTGATCTCTTTGCTGCAAGGTTTCTCTCTTCCTTTTCATTTAGTTGCCTTGCAAATTGCTGTTCTAATCTATGCTGTTAGTTTTAAAAAATTGCTAATAGCCGTTGAGGAAAATTGAAACTTTCGTAACATTAAAAGGAAAAGAATTCTTCTCTGAATTTTGCAGGCAGGTTTTCCACGACGGAGTTGAAAATCAAATAGAAACTCGACATTCTGTGTCTCTTTGCCTCTTCTTTTGCCCCATAGGAGTCCTCATTCATGTTATCACCAAAGCATTAACACATAGAGATGGTCCTGCAAAACATGGTACGTGACAAGGCAGAATACATCTCAACCGATGCTTCGCCCATCTCTTCAGGATTTGTTATTCTAAGTTCTTATTAGCAAATGTCATCAGAACTTGAAAGCTATGCAAAGTTTTAGCACCTAGTAAACTCCATTGTTTCGCTCTCTGAGAGTATTTGATGCCTGCAAGTCTATGTTTGGGTTCAAACCATAGAATTAAAAGTGTCCAATCTTCCAAGTTTCATAATGATCAAGAAGTGCTAGCAACTCAAACGAATGGAATCTAAAAGAACGATCCAAGAACTTCCTCAAAGAAAGACAGAACAAAGAAATTCCTTTATATGAAAATTATCATCAGTCTATGGATCAGTAAAGTTAAGTTTGAAGTACAAAGTACAGATCAAATAAAGACGTAAATTAGAGGCCAAGGATACAAGTTTCAAGGACCTTACAATTGGTCAGCGCTACATATTTTCAGCAAAAAAATTGAGGCTGCTAGCAAAGCAGACCGCACACGGCATTAAGGCAAGGAAAGCGAGACTAATGTGTCCATGTCCATGATGCATTTGAGTTCAGCACGGTTGCCAGCCAAATAAAAAAAGGTTTTTCCGCTTGATGACAGTAGTAACATGGACCAAACCATCATCTACTGATTACTGCAGGCATCCAATTGTTTAAGGTGTGATGTTGAGATCAATAAACCTAAAGGAAATGAGTACATAGCCAAAAGAAGTCAAATTTGATTATCCCTGATTAAGCTCACAAAGTTCTCTCTAACTGTATGCCAATACCAATGAATATCAATCATTTACTAACATAGCCGTTGCACTATAGAGATTGGTAGTTTTACAAGATTCAAGTGACACAAACTTCTCAAGTCTCAAACATGATGCAACAGTTAACTAACTTCTAAAATAAAGCTAAGCGTAATATGAACGTACATCAGGTTGGTAGGGAAGATAGCTGATCTTGGTCGTCCAACAGTCCATTTGATGTATCATGACTCCGAGAAGAATCTTTTCTGCTGCGGTCTAAAGAAGTTGCTTCATGTATCCCTACATTGGCATTTGGTATTTAGTCAATCCAATTGAATAAATAAAAAACATAGGAAGAGTGGATAGAAAAGATATGGATCAAATGGCTTGAACAGGGGCAAATTTAATCCGTGTTCTTTATAGTGATTCGGGCAATAACAACAAAATAGACGAAAACTTAAGCATACCAAACCCCAAAATTGAGCAGCAGATAACAAAGCCAACTAGAGAAAAATCCATCTTGTATACAATCTCCAAAAGAATGATGCTTCCACCAGCTACCACCAAATGTCTTGGAGAAGAAAAAACCATGTGCAATCTACAAATAAATAAGAGTATTGTCATTTTCAGAGTCATCAAATGAACGAAACAGATGAATAGTCTGTAATGTAATGAAAAAATTCTACAAATTTTAGCTGGATGTCCGTGACAGTATAGTTGGCAGATAAAGTCGGTACAGACACGCCCATTGAATAAAACACTATTTCCCACAATAGAAAATCCTATTTGTCTCTTTTCAAATATATACATGTACACGTGATATGAGCAAAGTTCCGTGGTGTTCAATCTTCATTTCTTTCCAAAATGTAGAAGGATATACTTGAAAAATAGTAAGACACAACAACCAATTAACCACTCATCTCACAACCCAACCCATGCTCAATTAGAGTATTTAGCTAATTTCTTGTTTGGACTTGGGAGGTTATAATCCTTGGCTTCGGGGAAGAACGAAACATGTAAATGTTCGGTGTTTACCATGCTTAGTAAAGTATGAAAGGTGGAGAATGGAGGACAAATACTGAACATTTCCATCATTGGAATCGCCACTACTTTTGATTTATCTTATTACCTCTCTTCAGCAATGCTGTCGACGTAGAATATAAGAATAACACCAAATATTGTAGTGCTTATAAACGCCCAAGTGGAGAAAGGAAGCTCTCTGCCGTTGTCAGAAGTTGATCCCTGAAGTTATAACATGAAGAAAAATCAAACATAAATTCAGGAATTATAGCATTCATGAAATATTGCTGAAACTTACAATTATCATGTCCCACATGGCCATAGGAAAGAGAAAACAAGTCGCAGAAGCCATTGTTATAGAATGAAGTCGTCTTTTAAGTTGGTTCTGAGGCGTATTGTAAAGGTAATCTCACATCAGAATGGCCTTGGTAGCTTCGATATCAAAAAGAAGAAAACAAAGTAAACTGTATATTAGATAACACCTTAAGTGAAACACGCCGAGCAATGACCCTTCTCAATGTTGATAAAATTCCAGCAAAGATAGGAATTGCCATTTCTTTCAAACCCAACATTTGTTCTGTCTGATTCTCAGCGTCAGAGCCATCTTTAGCAGGTAGTCTCAGGTTAAGTTAACAACAATTGTTGACGGGAAAATGACACACAAGTCGCAACTAATATATGAAAAAACAGTTCCAATTGAACTTTCAAAGGATATAGAAGGGAAAATGTGTGGTCATGGCCCACCCTTGTGATAATAAGTAGAAAGATACCAGCATTGCAATGAGACCGCCAACCTGATATGATATTTCAAGGAGAATCTGGTAACTTATATCTATAACTGAAACAATCTCAAGTTTGAATTCAAACTGCAAGCCTAATTTAGAAGAAGACTTCACATAAAGCACAACCTACCGTACTGTAGATATGTGGATGACATAATAATAAAGAACTAACAATATCTGAGAAGAATCTTAGAAATAAATTATATCAAAGACGCCGAAGAATACACATGTAGATTAAACCAAACCTTTTTCCAAACAAAGCCCCTCCGACCATACAAAACAGCAGAAAGCACTCCAAGGACAGCACCAGAATACTCGGCAAGTATAGCCCTAGATATAAAATAATAATAAATAAATGGATTGCGAGGACAGAAGGCAAGAAAAAATATATATGGCCAAGAAATAAAGCATCCATAAATATTCCCATTCCATCCCTTTATAAATTCCTAAATCAATGTCTACGTGAGCTCCAAATGACTCATGGTTCCAGGAAGAAGAATGCAGAGTGGTTTGTTCATTTTCTTTTCATGAAAAAACAAAACTTTATTGATAAAAGTATTGTGTATGAAAAAAAGGGGACAAAAGAAATTCTGCACCCTCATAACATAAAAGAAAAAATTACAAGAAACAACATCTGCACAAATTAGCAAAAGAGACAGTCTACTGATACGATATTTCTACAACAAAGTAAACTGAACCAATTGACTTTAGTTTAGTAAGTATCCTCTCAACTTTGCCAAATTAAACGTACAAAAAAGAACATCTCGTTTCTTCCCAATCACAACACCCAAACAAACATTAGGAACTACACAGCACAATCGTTCTGTTAAGCCCTTTCACCAAATATCTGAACAAATAATGAAACACATGTCGTGAGGGAAGATCCAAGACATCAAATTCAAATATAAGTATGAACCAAAATCTTTTCAAACCGATCAAGAAATAAATTATTCAAAAGTTAGTAAATCACAATTGCACATAATACACCAAGGGGACAGAATAATAAGGTAGGGTCTCTTATTTTGTAACTTTTTTTGAGTTTTCAGTAATAAGTACTGAACCTTCTTACAGTTGAAACTAAAATGAAAGCACAAATTTTCAAAGAGATTTGGTTAAACCAAACATCACAAAAATCAAACAAAATTTTTGAAGATGAGTATTTAATAACAAGACTTATATTACAACAGTTTATTAGATCCAAAAATCAAAGACAGCATACTTAACAGCATTGGGTTTCCCAAAGAACAATCGTTTCCTCCACAATATAGCCCTATGATTTTAAGGTGAACTTTTCTTCGAGGGTCAGAATCAGAGAAGTATTTAATGTCCAATCTTTACTATTCTATTAACAATTTGTAGTTCTAGCATTTCAATTACTAATGACGCTAAATTTTCTATAAAACATGACCACCTAATATGTAAATTGAAGCAAATTGTGCACCTATGCATTATACGTGTATGAACCAAAAAGAAGATCAACTGGTATATATTTGTCACCCACCTCAGAGGTCCACAGGCTTTAATGCCCTTTCCCCACAAGATAAAGTACAAAGCTGTTATGCCACCATTTATCACAGAAGGAACTACCTAAAACAGCAGGTTAGATCAAATAAACAACTGATGAAATAATATGAGAAGGTTGTAACATTTGATTCTTACAGCAAAACTTTCCTATTTCACCTGGGTATTTGGAAGGGGCTTTCCCTTCCATGGCTTTTGCAAAGTCAAAAATATAATGGCTGCTGGGCCCAAACAACAAAAGAGAAAAAGTACAACTGAAGCTCCAGCCTGAGAAAAATAGCGATACATTGAATAGATTGACCATATCCGAAAGAAATTTCCAAGCATGTGGATTATCTGCAACGGTGTATGCCTGCAAAGAAGGTCAACTCGCCAACATGAAATAGCAATCATACATTAAGATAAGAGATGGATACAACTTTATACTAGTAGGCATACATAAACCAACCCGTTTGTCTGATCTACACTAGCATAAAATAGCAGTCAATTGAATCAATAAAACTATTCAGAATTATTTTGCCAAGAAATTGTTCACCAATGTTCGCCAGAACATGAGCGTGTTGAACACAGGAAGAGGAAAATATGTATTAATCACTGATTTTCCCCATTAACTAAATTGGAGGATTTGCATGGTGATTAAGGCTGTGTAATCTTTTCACTTAAGCGATTCATCTCTTTCCCAATTCATTATAGCCACTTCCCACAAATAAATTGACATAAAACTTGAACTACATGTCATGTTTGTTACCATAAATGCTCCGTGGAGCTGGTGAGAAGATTAAGTAGAAAACTAAGGCATCCAAATTCAACCGGTAGTGTCCCAAACTACGGACTAATCCCAATTACGCCAGAGCAGAAATTTCCCATTTCAAACGTAGCGGCAACCGTAAGATTCAAGAAATTAAATTTCTTCTATACCCCCAAGTTCGCTAAGGGAAGAACCAGATGACTGGGACTACAATATGCAAATGGAACAGAACAAAGAAATCGGAAATTTATATCGAGAAAACCTGAAATGAGGAGAAGATCCTCGATCCTGAGACATTGATCCCGGTGACATCATTTTCCGAAGCTGACCACCGATGAATCAACGCCGTCGACAGCTGAGGAATTAAAAGGAGGTCAATTGAGAAACAATAGAGTTCATTACATTTTGGCTCTGCAACTCCGTTTCGTGTCACCGTCCCACTCAACTTTCTTCTTCTGCAAGTAGACCGACGATTCTCTCTCCCCCAATTTCAACTGTCGAGTATTTTAGGCCGTGTTGAAGCCCAACAGTCGAATTGTTGGGTACGGTTAAAAAAGAAAAAAGAAAAAAATAGTTGGGCCGTGTCAGCCCAACATCCAGGAATTGTTTATGTACGGCTAAAAATAGTTGGGCCTTATTGAAGCCCAACAGTCAAATTGTTTGGTACGGTTAAAAATAGAAAGAAAAAAATAGTTGGGCCGTGTTGAAGCCCAACAGTCAGGAATTGTTTGGTACGGCTAACAAATAGTTGGGCCGTATTGAAGCCCAACATCCAGGAATGGTTTGGTACGGCTAACAAATAATTGGGCCGTTATGAAGCCCAATATCCAGGAATTATTTAGTACGGCTAAAAAATAGTTGGGCCGTGTTGAAGCTCAACAGTCAAATTGTTTGGTACGGTTAAAAATAAAAGAAAAATAGTTGGGCCGTGTTGAAGCCCAACAATCAGAAATTGTTTAAAATATATAGTTGGGCCGTGTTGAAGCCCAACAGTCAGGAATTGTTCATAAAATATAGTTGGGCCGTATTTAAGCCCAACATTCAGGAATTGTTTATAAAATATATAGTTGGGCCGTTTTGAAGCCCAACAGGGGTTAAAAAAAAAAAAGAAGAAAAAAAACTTTTCGATTTCCCGCCACCGCAAGATAATCTGTTGTTCAACAATTTCAAAAGACTTTTCATATTGCCATTCTCAGATCATGGAAGCAAATGGTTGGTACAGATTTGAGATTTGAGGATTCAGAGAGATTCCATTAGGCAAATGATACCGATAGCCCACTCTGCTCGGTCCTGATGTTGCATCGGTAAGCCCCACAAACCCCACCTCTGTATATGCACTGTCTTTGCTGAAATGACCCAATGACTATTCCCCCACAGTTTCATTCTCTATAATCGCCCATGGCCTCTGGATCTTTTTGCTAATCGTTTGTCTGTAGGACCGATTCGGTTAGACTAGACCCCCTTATAATTTATGTCTGTTTTCTTTTGTTTTTGTTCAATTTATTTGTGGGGTCTTCCATAATTTGTTTATCTGTTGTTCCCAGCTGGTGTTCGTTCTTTAAACGCCACTTATTCTCCTCCTTACCTGAAGGAGAGGCCATTCCTTTTGGGTGTGTCATAAGAATGAGTTAAACTTTGTGGACTTTGGATTTTAGAGAAAGATGGTGTGAAATAAAAGTGGGTTTTAGAGAGTATCTGGAATTGGTCCACGCACTTTGATTTGAACATCCTGTAGGAGACGTCCCTGATGAAGTCTGCAATGCCCGGTTGTTAGCAGACAGACCTGTTAATCATGTAAAAGCATTATGTTCTTATTTATTGTGGGCTTGATTTATTTGATTTTCCAAGGTTTTCTTCCATTGAAGGTTGAGAGGTAGGTGTAATCATTTGCTGGGTCAAGATGTGGCTTGCGTTTAAGCTAGCAATTTTTGGGTTTGGGACAGGCCAATCAATAGCCACTTATATGCAAATTACCCTCTTTACACACTCTAATTTTAGTCCATATACTGTATTTTGTGTGTTCTTATGTGGCCCCAGAATTGCAACTCTTGTTTTATATATTTTCTTTATAGATATTTTGTTGTGTTTGTGCCAGATTTATGTATTGAGACAAATGAAAGTAACATAGAGTGAAAATTGTGGATCAAATTTGCCCAACACATCTGTCTATGAATCTGTTCTTTCTTTACTCATATCACTCTAAAAAGTAAAAGCTGTGGACATAATATCCTTTAAAAGTAGAGCTTCTTTGGCTCATACAAACTTTATGAAGTACGCTGAATTCTATTGTGGATCATTGGGGAAGAGTAAATCTTAGTACTAAGTACAATATCTAAAAGAAATTGGGTTAAATTTATTGTTTGTATTGAAAATCATTCAATGTTTCAACATATAATAATTATTCAAGATCAAGACACATTACAAAAGTTTATGATATTGTCTGTATCAATACAATTAAACTGTTTTTGTCAATTGAGTCAACTGTAAATTGACTTCATTTACACTGGAGATACAGCTACTACACTGTATAATACACATGCATGATCTTATTTGGAAAACTTGAACCACACAATGATAATATCTAAGAAAATGGTGATCGTCAATTGGCTATACTAACAAGCCAAGTTGTACTTAATTTCTAGTTGTCTAGCTATAGCCTACTATTTAATGTATTTAGCATCTGTTCAGTAAATTTTAGTTTTTAGCTTTTGTCATATTTTTTAATGGATCAAATGAGAGATCCTTGTCGGTTGGAGAGGGAAACGAAACATTGCTTATAAGGGTATGGAAACCTCTCCCTAACAGACGTGTTTTAAAACCATGAGGCTGATGGCGAGAAACGTAACGGGCCAAACGGACAATATCTATGAGTGGTGGGCTTGGACTTTTATAAATGGTATCAAAGCCAGACTCCGGGCGGTGTGACAGTGAGGACGCTGGGCTCCCAAGGAGGGTGGATTGTGAGATCCCACATCGGTTGGAGAGGGGAACGAAGCATTGCTTATAAGAGTGTGGAAACCTTTTTCTAACAAACATGTTTTAAAGCTGTGAGGATGACGGCGATATGTAACGGACCAAAACAAACAATATATGTTAGAGGTAAGTTTGGGCTGTTACATCAAATCTTGTGTATAGCTAATTGTTACATCAAACGGTTACTTTTTATGTCTCGTGATTAAATCCTGTTCTGCATATTTTGATTCAGATTTTCAGAATATATCTGTTTCTTTTCATTTGGCAGTTTAAGGTTTTAAAAAGCCTAAGCTATTGGCTGAAGACATCAAATGACAGTACAATGTGAAACTCACAGTCTAAAAAAGTAGACATGATTTGCAGACAGGATAACAAAATCCCATCAGACATAGCCAATATTAGGTAATTGGTTGCACTGTTCTGCTTTATGCAATTTACAGTAGGATGTAAAATTGATACATCACTCTCTGATAGATTTGTTTTCGACATTTTGTAGACTTGTGAGAAAACACTATCTTGTTTGCCTAGAGATATCAAATGCCCCATTTGCAGTCAAAAGGGCTTACTGAAGTGGAAGCAACTGTGTTCTCTTTATCAGTTCCTCATCTATTTCTCTGTCGCCTGTTCCTCATGTGATCTTGTTCCCTGCAGGGTTATGCTTAAAGCTTAAACATCAGTACTTCAACATTAATATATGGTTTTACTGCCTGGGATTTTAGCTTTGACCAATCAAAATGGCTCAATTGATCCACCATATTCTTAGATATTTTTGTTAAGTCTGGACAAAAACTATTTTTTATCCTTCTTCTTTTTGAACCCATCCCACTCCTAACCTTGTTCCCCTGGCCAATCAACACCGTTTTTCTGTTGATCTATCAATATCACTGCACTTGGCATCCCTCCCCTCCGCTTTCCTGCCTTGTTTCTTTTCTTCTTCAGTCGGAATGGCAGATTCTCATTTAATTCTCGAACTCTTGAAAGAAATTATCTAGAGGTAGGTTGTGAGATCCCTCATCGATTGAGGGGGAGAACGAAACATTCTATATAAGAATGTGGAAATCTTTCTCTAGTAGACGTGTTTTAAAAACCTTGAGAGGAAGCCCAAAAGAGAAAGTTCAAATTGGACAATATCTGCTAGCCGTGGGCTTGAAAAATCTCTTGAGCAAGGAGAAGCAGACATGAAGACAAAAAGGTGAGGTGAGTGAAGAACTTGTGTGAACTGAAATAAATGAGTGTCTATAAGTTTCTTTCATTCTCCTAGTCGTACTTCTTTGTCATAAAGGAAGTAGCTTACTTTTCAAAATGAAAAAAGAAAAAAGCATCTTCCTCCCACCATTCCAGAAGAAGATTCCTAAACAAAATCAGTTAAAGTAGGCACTGATTTACCCAACGTTTCATTATTAGAAAGTAAAATGTCAAAAGTTAATAAACTTTTGGGAAATTGTGGGAGTACCTAAGCTTTTCTGATAGCTCCCGTGCCAAAATTTATGCCTAAAGAGGAACATGCAGCTGCAAGCTCCATTGAGAGAAACTGAATTCAAGGACAAAGTAAATATTTCAATGCTATTAGAGTAAAACATTATTAATACTTACGAAAAGTTCACCATGTTCCTCACCTCAACCTGATTCTGTAGTGAATGAACATAATTGATTGTCTCATCCAACACCATTGCCATACCCATTGACTGCAAAATAATATGGAGATTTTGTTTGAAATTGAGGTTCCAACGTTTTGGTAAACAGGACAAGAAAAAAGAATTACCTTGTGACATCCTGGAATAAGGTTTTGCAAGCATTTTAATTTGTTGTTGATTTTCTCTCTTCTCACCTGAAATATGAAGAACAAGAAATCAATCTCTAAAAAAAATTGTGTTTTGGAAGAAACATTTTATAATTCAGCAATTACCCTTTCTGCTAAACTGTGACTATCTGTAGCTTGACCACGTTTTGCTCTAACATGAACTACTTCTGCAGGCTTTTCCTGTTCTTTCTCACAGTTCCTTCTTTTCCTTCCTCCTCCCAAGTTCTGAGTAAACAAAGAAATGAGAAAACTAAAAGTTCAAAACAACTGAAAGAATTTGCTGAAGAATTGACACTTGCTTTCAAAGGCCTGGCTGCACAAAGTGCTCCTGAGTTGCTTTCCGATTCTTGTTTGGCTTTTCTCATCATGGTTTCTTGAGCGTTATCTACCAGTAGACCGGTTCGAGTTATCGGAAACTCGTTCTGACATTTCAGTAAAGTAACACAAGGAAAATTGGATAGTGAACTGGGTGTTGTGCTTTTTGGTATCTGGAAATGGTAGCCCAATAAGTTCTCCAAGCCACCCTCTAACATGCTCTCTGTCATATTAGAGAACTGGGTCAGGACTTCTATATTCAAGCCCCTTTCTTGATGCAGGTCTTGCCTAAACTCTGACATGATTGAGTTTCTCAAAGCTTTCAGGGCTAGGCTAGCTACTTATATGAATTACTTAGATCAAATTGGATGTGGATGTGGATGTAATTTATGTCTTCCTTAAAAACTAAGTAAATGAAGATCATTACTGGATAGTTATTAGCACTTGTGATCTGCGTCATACAGAGCCTCATTTTCCTGATGTTGAAGCTCCCTGATAAGTAGGGTCCATGATAGGGATATTCATGTTATCCAATATGTAATGGCAAATGTAAGCATGTATGATTGGTTTGATTTTCTACTGTTTGTGAAAGGAGAAAGAGAGATCAAAATATTAGTGCAAAGAGGAAGTAATAAAGCCATAAAGAGGAAAATTGAAGATAAGAACACAGATTTTGTTTATCTCGGATCTTCTTTTGATGGCTGCCCTCATATTTTGTTTACTGTCTTCCTCCTTACTTTCTAGGACGAACAGAAGATCTCTTTTCAGAAGCTTAGCTACACAGACTACTGATGAAATGAAGCAGAAAGGTCTCTTTCTTGAATCTATTTCCCTTTCAAATTATTATTGTTTTTCTTTATATGTTTAAATGAATACGCATTTGACATCTGTCATATATAAAGTTTGATGAATAGCTCTAAGTAAATGCTAATTTTAGAATGAATTTGCTTTGGAGATGGATGGTGTTGGACAATCTGGATGAGTCTTGTTCTTGGTGTTGATAATAGATATTGATGGAGGAATTGTTCATTGATGGAACTAAAAGTTTCTCGCTTTTAAGAATGAATTTGCTCTGTTAAGGTATCATAAACTAGTTCATTGATGAACATCAGAATCTGTTCGAGATAGATTGCGTTATTGATGAATTTAATTCAATTTTCATTTGGTATCGTTAGAACAGTTGAATTGATAAGAGAATGGAAAGTTCGGAAACTGAAATTTGATTCCCATCATACTAAGATTAATACATTTACAGGGAAGAAAGCAGATAGGGAAAGAGAGAATCTCTATCTGCTAATCCAAAAAATATGTTTGAATCAGAATCAAAATGAAGACCCACGTAGATTGGAAGATAAAGGAACGATTCTCAGCTAGGGTTTGGAGATCTTCGTCCTCCAATAGCTATTGAAAACCCTCGACACTGAATTCAAATTCATCTGAGCCGGCCAATAATTCCGAGATGTCTAATTCAGAGAATACCTCTGTTTCCAAAGAATTTAATGTTGGAATTTCAGTAGGTTCCTCGATCAAGTCATCGTAAATAGCCTCCATGAAAATCTCTGAAAAGTTTAACTCAGGGGATGACTCTGTTTCCAAAGGACTGGATGTTTGTGTATCAATGCTTACAATTTCAGCGGCTCCCTCGATTAAGCGATCGTTATTAGCCTCCATGAACATCTCTGAGACATCGAATTCAGGGGATACCTCTGTTTCGAAAGGACTGAATGTTTGTGTATCAATGCTTACAATTTCAGCGGCTCCTTCGATCAAGTGATCGTAATTAGATTCCATGAACATCTCTGAGGCATCGAAGTCAGGGGATACCTCTGTTTCGAAAGGACTGAATGTTTGTGTATCATTGCTTACAATTTCAGCGGCTCCCTCGATCAAGGGATCGTAACTAGGTTCCATGAACATCTCTGAGACATCGAATTCAGTGGATAACTCTGTTTCGAAAGGACTGAATGTTTGTGTATCAACGCTTAAAATTTCAGCGGCTCCCCCGATCAAGTGATCGTAATTAGTTTCGATGCCCAAATCTGAGTTGTTTAATTCAGGGGATGCCTCTGTTTCCAAAGGACTGAATGTTTGTTTATCAATGCTTGAAATATCAACGGCTTCCTCGATTAAGTAATCATAATCAGCCTCCATGAACAAAATCATACTGTCAGCAACTCCAATTTTGGAATCTAAAGTGGCCATTAACGCCTTCAATTGATGTTCCGATAGTGAATCAAGGCGGTCATCACTGTTGGTGTCCTTACTTTTCTGAACTTTCTCTCGCAATTTGGACGTCTCCGATACTATTTTGTTCTTGCGATCAGAGAAGAATTGGTTCAAATCATAAGAAGACTTAGCGGACTGTTTGCAAAAAGATTGGGATTTATAAGAACGGATCATAGCCTCAACTTGGTTACGATCTGAAGGCCAGGTTTCGAATTCCTCAGAAGCGATTACAACACAGGTTTGAACATCGCAAAGAGTGGAAAGCTCATAAGCTTTCTTCATCAGACTTTTCTTCCTCTTCTGAAACGTTGTTCTTCGACTTTTAGGATTGGAAATCAGTTTAAGGCTCAGTGTTCCTCTGCCCATTCTTCTCCAATTTCAGAGAACCAGAAGCAGAGAGAGAGAGAGAGAGTTCGGTCAAGTTCAGAGTCCGACAGAATTCAACAAATGGGTTTACGGTTCCACAGCGTCATGCCGTCCCTGTTTTATAACAGTCCAATTGCCCGCCGGTCACCTTGTTTCGCTCGTGATAATTTGCCGGTCACCTTGTTTCGCTCGTGATTTTCTGCCGGTCACTTTTTAGCCGTTTGGTTTCCCGCCGGTCATGTTATTTCCACGTGGCAAAATACGTTTAATATTTCAGTCAAAGACGTTCGTTGACCCGTTGACCCGTTGACCCATCGGATTCTGCGGTAGTGGAGGCCGGTGCCGATGGTAATGACAGTGGGGATCCTCCTATTTTTACGGTCACGCGCCCACTGCCAGCGGTGATTCTCGTTACTAATCAGGATGGCCGTTGGAGATTTTTTTTATCATTTTTTTATTATCTGTATTTATGCCCTCATTAACGGTTTAGGTCCCTTTTTTATTGTTGTACTATAATTTTTATATTTCATCCATTCATTTAATATTTAATTATTTATTATTTACATTGTTTTAGCTAAAACATTTTATTATCTTTTTAGCTAAAACTTTATTTTATCTAACATTTATTTTTATTGGTGTTATAACATGTCTCATGTCTGATTTTAAAATTTACTCCAACTTAATCTTATTTAACAGATTCATGACACTGTTTAAGACATTAAATGTTTTATAAATCATAACTTAGTAGGTTAATTATTAATTATTAATTATTAATTATTGTAACCTATTTAATAGATTCATAACTCTGCTTAAGACATTAAATGTTTTATAAATGATGGTATAGGATTGAAAAAAATTTGTTATATTCCATTTATTTTATTTAGAATTTAATATACTATGAACTAATATATTATTTTATATTCCACATGGTTTAAAATGTTACCATATAGAAAATAATTAATATAAATAATAGGAAGAATTTTTTCCGACGAGACTATCATGCGACTTACACTTTTTGATCGATACTCAAGAATTTTATGTACATGATTAAGTTTTGGTTTGTTTCTTATATCGTTTGTTAAGATAAGTGATCACCTTTATGCACGGGTACTATTCACTTGGAGTTGAAACCAAAATGATTTTTTTTGCGGATCATCATAAAATCCCTTAGCATTAGGGTATCATCATCACTTCAAAGAGATGTCCATTTGGCAAGGACATCTGCAGATCGGAGAGGAGATTTCCCATTCAGACGAAGAAGGAAGTGGGAACATTTTCCATCTTTGTTAAATGGCTATGGATCCCGATCAATATATTAATTTATTATGATTTTTTTTTCTTTTATAAATATTATATTAAAAAATAACTTAAAAATAACTATGGATCCCGATCTCCGCAAATTCCTTACAGGGAATCTCAGAGAATCTCCATCTCGATCTCTACAATAATAAATGAAATAGGTGGTGGAGATAGGGACAGGGAAGTGGCACACCTACAAGAATCCTGCAAAAATAAATGGAGAATTTCGTAGGGGTAATGATGAGGACAAGAAAGGCTTCCTCGTCTTCACCCGCAAACATCTATACTTCAAAATATTTAAACATCGAAAACCTTCGAGAAAATTAACTATGTATTTTACAATTATTTACTCACAATTACATTGAAATTGTAGTGTTATTGGAATTAATTGTTATATCTGATATACAAATAAACAGATCATAAACATTTAGTTTCTGATATACAACTCAATGAACGAAGAAAAAAAAAATATACATCATCATAAGAAACTATATTAGAGAAGGGTGTGAAAGAAAAAAGAATGAAGGTCAATCTGTTATTTACCATTCATGAATGTGTCAAAGAACTTGTGGTTCACTCCTGTTCTAAAAATGAGCAACTCAACTTCACTTGTTATATTAACTTCAGCTTCATCAGGTATAAAGAGGACGTCTCCTTCACTGATTACATCACTTCTATGTGATTCTTCATGCAGCATCGTCCCCTCTCCTCCAGCAACCAGAAATATCGAAGGACCCGGGCTCGCTGGAAATACGACGGATGCCCCTCCTGGCAGAACACAACGATCTACCTCGAATTCGTCAAATGGTGGAACGTACTTTGTTATGTATGGATTCATGGGAACTCCTTGGAGGATTTCAGGAAAGCCCTGTAGATCAAACCACCAAGAACATGTCAGTACTTTTAAACTCTGCTTCTTCTCATCATTTTCGCGCAACCATACACTTTTTCGGTTGTTGATCGATGAACATCCAAGAACGTCATATTGTCTTCCAAGGGAAACTGTTGGAATGGTTCGATTCTAAAGTTTACCTGTTTGTAAGTAAGCATGGCACAGAGAGTCTGGACATCGCGAAACTTGGGAGTTAGGCCAGCCCGGATGACATTATCGGACGTCGCCATGCACTCGATACACTCACCACTTATATATGCATGAGGCTCATTTGCCCCAAGGTGCAGAGCTTCTCCAGGAGTGAGCTTCACATAGTTTAAGAAGAAGGCTGCTATAACGCCCACATCATCTGGATATTGCTTCTCCAGTTGTAAAACCAAAGCTTCCTTAGCAGTAAGGGGCCTCACCTGAAGAAAGATTAAATAAGCAAACGCGCTACTCCAAAAGTCCAGGAACAAGTGTACTTCAAACATGAACTATGAGACAGATACAGAAAGAACCAAGAAACATCAATCAGAAAAATCAGTGTTTACAGAGTTCCATCAAGAAATATACTTCAAAACATACAGTTCAATCAATATCACAGGAACAC